GTCACGGGCGCATCGAACAGCTTCAGGCACAGCGGGCAGGACAGCTCCTGGTGCAGGAGGCCGGGCGCAGCGGACATGGCGGCCTGGGGAGCGGTGGGGTGGGTCAGGGAGGCTGCGGGGTGCGGGGCAGCCCAGCCCCCCCGGGCTCGCCTGCAGGCCCAGAGAGAGCCGGGCCCTATGAAGCCACACATCCAGTGCAGGCAGGGACGCCGGTGCCAGGTCTCACGGGCACTTCTCAGCCCCCAAGTTATCTCCATGGGAGACCTTGTCTCGCGTCCTAACAAACCCACCCCTGGCTCCAGTCTCAGCCAGTGTCTCAGCCCCAGGCCTTGGCCTCAGCCTTAAATTCTCCAGTCCCTACCTGCTACCCTCTCCCTCACCTCTCCAGGATTCCCAGCACTCCCTGCCCGGGGAAGCTCCAGGCCCACTGCACTCACAGGTCTGGCTGGAGATCGTCAGCCAAAAGAGAGTCCCGGGGAGCCCAGTCCAGGTCAAGCCCAGGAGAAGTGTGCCTGGAAGCAAGGCAGGAGAGGGCAAACAGCACGCTCCGCGCGGGGACGGGACTCACAGAGGCAGCTGGCCGTGGACCCTGGGGGTCGGCACAGGACGGCACAGCGCACAGCCAGCCGCAGACCCTCCCAGACTTAGCCTGGGCCAAGGACTATATTTAGCTGCCGTACCCAACCCCTCCCATCAGTTCTGGAAACCAGTTCTAAAAATGGGGACTAAGTGGTCAGCCGGCAATATCACATGTCAGGGCCACCTGTTTTGATTCATCCACTGTCCTCCCTTCCCTGCCACCCCCCGAGCCAAAACTCATAGCCAGCAAGGAGGCAGCGTCTCTTCTACCACAAAGAAGACTAGAACATGACTGAGGGAGGCTCCCTTCTGGCCCTCCCCACCTCCACATCCTACAAGCTCCCCCTTACCACCTGTGGCACCCCCCCCCCTTATCACCCATTATTCCCCAAGCGTGTGCTCACCCAAGGTCACACTGGCAGTATTATCTCCACCCAAGGACCCAACCTCACCCTACCCTGAAAGACTTTCTTCCTCCAGGGTGAAGGGGACGCTGTGGCCTCCGTGGTACCCAACATGCTCCCAGGGGCAAAGCAGGACTCCCCAAATGCCTGGGAAATGGCCTTCACAGGGACAGTGGCACAAAGGATACACTGACCACAGAACCTGCAGCCCAGAATTCCCTTCTGCCCTGGGCGCCTCAGGCTTTCCCCAGGCTTCTACAAGTCTACTTTTGTTCGGAATAAAAAGCAAAAGTCCTCCTGTGGCCTGCACAGCCCTACCCTACCTGACCCCATTCAACTCTCCCATCCATCACCCTTGTCCCTGTCCCCCCCGCCCTCCCCCACCATTCCAGCTGCCCTGGACCTCTGCTCCACCTGGAACATCCTGTCAAACCCAGGGATTGCTCTGGCTCCCAGCAGCCACCTTTTCAGTGAAGACTGCCTAACTCCCTGATTTTAAAATCTCACATCTCCCTGCCCTGCAATGAGCAGCATCTCGCATGCCAGATAGTTTTCTTTCTTGTTAGGTTTTTGCATCTGAGTCCCCCTGCAGAATATACATTTTACTGACTGATTGTTCCCAACTTAGAACGAAGTATGTGGCATACAGCAGATGTTCAGTAAATAAGCAACGAATGAATGAACGTACAAGTCACTTAGTCCTTTGGCTTCTCAGTCTTTACTGGACTTTCTGTCAAGGCCACCCTGCTCCTGCCGTTTCAGTTTCAGACTGCTGTTAATCCCTCCTTTATATTCTCTCTGCCCCTCTCTTGGGTTTTTAATATTCAGTTTTATTAAGTTTATCCCTGTTGTGCAAACAAGGTGCTCTGAACCAGAGAGACCCAGTAAACTCCTCACAGTAAAGAATAAATGCCCACCCAAGGCCTAAGATGAAGCGATGAGACAGGCACCCCTAGATGAGCAACAAGACCTTTCTCCTGTTCATAAAGGAGAAGGGGGCAACTGTCCCCTGCCCCCCTTTAAAGGTATTCTCCTTACTCCAACTCTTAGGTTAGTAAATAAATCTAAGCCAGAGGGTTCCTTGCATGTCCAGCTTTTGTGACAAGTCTTTGGAATTGTCTCTAAGTTCTGGGCTCGTTCCTCTTGAACACTGGAGGCTCTTGCATGTTCCTGCTTAGGAAGCTTCTCCGGGCCTCCTAGCACCTTGCAGACATAAACCAGGAACATTGTTCAGGCTGGAATCATTTGGTTCCCTCAGGAAGAGACAGTGAAGTTGCATAGAACTATAGAAGTGACTGCAGATTTAATCTTCATGGTAAATAAAGAATCTCTGGGCCCTCCCTGTGGCGCAGCGGGTTAAAGCACTGCAATAAGAAGCTAAAGCCACTTTAGCATGAGTTCGAACCCCGCCCGCCCCGGAGGTGACCACATGGCGCCGTAGACCTCTCCTGACCTCCCCGCTGCTCCCCTCAGCAGTGTACTTCATCGATCTGCCTGTTCTGCTCCCCACACTGTCTCTGGTGAATCCTCTAGCCACCCTTGCACCTCTGGCCTGTCCCCCAGTTCTGTATGCATAAATAAACAAATTTTTAAAACACTAGTTTTAACCAGAACCCTTGGTAGTCCAGTAATTTTTATTTCCCCACTCTCTTTTTCTTTAAGTCTCTGATTTCCTCTATGGCTTTTTTTTTTTTTTTTTTTTTTGATGACTTGGCCTTGGCCTTGGGTTAGCAAATAGGGTGGGGAGAGAATAAAAGTAAATCTGAAACTGGTTTCGAAACTGCAAGACACTTCACTTCAGCTTGAAAAGTCAACTCCCTGAATATAGTAGATTTCACCAGTGCTCCTATCACTGCCAGGTTGGAAGTAAAGGTCTGCCCAATAGTATTGGCAACCCAAGACAGGAGGTGACAATCAAGTCAACCCTTCTCTGTAGATTGACCAGGTCTGACCTCTGACCCAGGGAAAAGACATTTTCGACAGCAGGTTGGAGAACGGAAGGGGGATGAGGATCTCCCTGGTGGCCTAGAGCCTGTCTCAGCACCACCGTCAGCAAGGCCTGTGTTCAGTCCCCAGCCGGCAAGCTGACCCACATACGGCACCCCAGGTCCATCCTGCCTGCTGCTCCCCTCAGTAGTACATTTCAGTCAATCCACCTGTTCCTCTCTCTGTCTCTGGTGAATCCTCCCACACACACACACCATTGGCCAGTACCCCAGTTCTTGTATGCATAAATAAATCTGAAAAGAAAGGAAAGGGGACTGGAACCACATCCAGGGGCAGAGGAAAAGGAGAC